CACAGTCTCACTAAAATTGCTCAGGGCCTTGCTAAATTGATGAACCTGCGATCCTCCTGCCTCAGCTTCCTGAGTCACTGGGATTACAGGCATGTGCCACTGCGCCCTGGCTTGGTACAGTATCTTAATGCTTCTAGAATTTCTCTTGCTTTACTGCATCTGTACTATATCCAGGAAAAAAATGTGTTCAACCCCAGGAAGTTGATGGGATTGTTTACTTAGGAAAACTAGCAAAAGATAACATCCAACTCTCTTATAGACACTCAAGATGGATAGTTAAAAAAAAAAATGCAAGGAGAAGGCCCCTGTGAAGAGGCAATGGTGGAAGGGTACCTGGAGTCTCAGAAAGCAGGATGTGGGGCTGGAGTTGTGGCTCAGTGGTAGAGTGCTTGCCTAGCATGTGTGAGGCCCTGAGTTTGATCTCAGCACTGCATATAAATGAATAAAATAAAGGTCCATTGACAACTAAAAATATATTTAAAAAAAAGAAAGCAGGGTGGGCAGGGCAGAGGCAGTAAGGGGTAGGGGTGACAAAAAGATGTCAAGTAGCTGGCAAGGTGAAGAAATGAAATACACAGAGAATAAGTTAACTTAGGAAATAAGTGGACATATTTTGAATTATGGAAAACAAGCTTCTTATTGCCCAAAAGGCTTACCTAGAAAGGGGTAGGGCTGGAAAGAACCCTGGGATGTTTGATTACAATTGGAAATTTTGAGTTAATATATATTTTATATTGTATATAATATACACACATTTATACACAGGAATATATAGTTTTGTGTATATATATATATATATATATATATATATATATATATATAGTTATAGACATATGTGCATAAGTATCTATAAAATGTGTATATCCCCCAACTCTGCTCTCTGAAGCAATGGTACTTCAGTAACAATGAGTGCTGGGCTCCATTCTCCACAAGGAATCAGGGTACCTTGGAGAAACTGGGGTATCTTGGACGATTCCAAGCCTAGGTCAGGGAAAGTACAAGATAAAGCTTCGTGTGTGTTAAAAGGACACAGGAGCAGCTTGAAATTCTCACTAGTCAAATCTAGGACAGTTTGAGCATCCAATAAAGAGGATAGAGGATTACAGCTCACTGATTAAAACAGAGTCCACACTGACATTAATGAATAAATGAGAAAGCTCTGTCTTATGCTACAGTAAAACTGATAGGTGTGCAGGAGTGGTGGAAAGAGAATCACTACTGACAACTTCCACAGAGGAAACTCATGCAGGCAGCAGTTGCCAATGGATATTAAAGGTCAGTGAATGTGAGCTGACAAGGAGCAGGATTTGCCACAACATTAGAACATCTCTTCCCCCAACACTAGTAAAATACAGAGGGAAAACAGGTGATGTTGTGGAGACCCGGAGGCACCTGCGGAAACAGGTGATCAGGATCAGTGTCAGCAGGGGTGGGTCATGTCCCTGGGTACTGAGAAGGGCACTGACATTTCTGTGGCCTCCCCACCAGGAGCAGGCCTGAGTCTGGGCAGGAGCAACATCAACCAGAACTAAGTTTGGGGCTCTCCTAGAGAAGGAGACTGGGACTCTTTCACGTGCACTCTCTGATACACAGTCAGGCAGAATGTTGAAAGGACAGAAAGCTCTTCCTTCAGCTTATGAACTCGGTACTGTGCAGGCAAGACCATCAGCACCTTAGAGTTTTCAAGGACACCATGTCAAACACTATCTACTTCTAAGATTATGTGTCCTAGTTTTTGCTTTAGAACCTTGGTCATTCTGGAAGTCAAAAGAGGAAGTTTGGAATTATTGGTCAGGACAGGAGGCATAAGGCTTGTGACACGAGGGATCTGCATTCTCTTCCCAGCTTTACCAGTGAAACAAGCTATTTGGCCTCAAGTAGCTAAGGTGAGAAATCAGCTGACTGCCCAGTGACCTCTAAGGCCCAGTCTAGCACTCAAATCCTCAAGTGAAACCAACCTGGATCCACCAGCAATTTCAAGCTGACAATATGAAAATGTATCATGTTTAACAACTGGATGGTTATACACTAGTTGTGTGGGTTTTGGTCACTTAATAATTTTAGACATTTTATTTTTGACAAAGATCCTGAATTCATTACCAGATTGACATCCTGAAGCTGCGCCTTTAGGAGGAGAGACTGTGCCTCTCTACTTCCCCCAAGTGGTGACAAAGGCAATGGACTCTTCTGCCCAAAGGAAAATTTAATGTGGGTTTTACCAGGGCCTATTTTTAGCTCCCCTGTGACCACACTTTAAAATTTTCAATGTTTACCTATTTTTTTAACTAGAATTTTCATCTATTTCAATAAAATTATATTAAAATACTAGAAATTTAATATTTTTTACACATCTTTCAACACCTTTGAGTGCTTACTGTGCCAGGAACTGTGGGGTTCAGGGAATCCATGATGAAAACAAACACCAATGCTTCTGTTTCTTAGGAACTTGTGTGTTGGCAGTAAGCTAACTTTTGTTTTAGAGGAGATGCAGTTCTGTCAGGATACATAACAAACAGACTGGATCCTGACAAGTGCCCCCCTGGAAGCACTGAGGGGAGACAGGAAGTCAGTGGGCTGTAACTAGGGAGGGAGATGAGGGGCAGACAGAAAACAGAGCCAAGGCCTGAAGGGCACAGGAGCCCATGTGGCTAAGGTCCAGTGGAAGGGCCAGTGGGTCCTGATGACTCTGGAGAGGGGGTGGGGTGAGCGCCTGCAGGGCCGTGGGAAGGCCACGTGTTAGAATGTAAAGGAAGCTGGCAGTGAACTAGAGGAGTGCTGGGAGGGTTGGCATAACCAGTCCTGCCTCGGGAAGAGGCTGGCTGAGTGTGAAGATCAGAACAAAGTCAGAAGGGTGTGGGGACCAGACAGCAGGGCCTGGTCTCCAGCCCCTGTTACTGGAGGTGGGGAAACTGTAAGAGGTGGGGCCTCCTGGGAGGATTCAAGTCATTGGGGGTGTGCCCTGAAGGGGATTCTGGACCCTGGTCTCCTCCTCTTTGATGATTCTGGCTAGGAGGGAAGAGGCTGTGCTCCACCATGCACTCCCTGCCAGGACATGCTGCCTTGCCACAGGCCCCCAAATAGGTCAACCAACAATAAACTCGAGCCTCCAAAAACTGAGAGCCCAAATAAACCTTTCTCTACATACTTTTTAGTTATGGAAAGCTGACACAAGGGAGCGGGTGGGACTCAGGTGCTGGTTATGATGAAGGCATGTGAAAGACGCCTTCAGGAGAGCGCTGGGCTGGGGCTCAGTGGCAGAGCGCTTTTCTAGCACGCATGAGGCACTGGGTTCAATCCTCAGCACCATACAAAAATAAATAAATAAATAGAGGTATTTAAAAAAATGCCCAGGGGACATCACCAGGACTGCATAGTTTACTGGAGGGTGGGGTAAAGAGAAAGGCCAAAGGAAGAACCCCAACTTACAATGGAAGAGATTCCAGTTAGGGCTGCTTGGTGGGACACTGTTTGGTCTCATGGCTGTTGAACTGGAAGTGTATGAGTGATATTAAGAAGCAATATCATGAGAGGCTGGGGTTGGGGCTCAGTGGCAGAGCGCTTGCCTAGCATGTGTGAGGCACTGGGTTCGATCCTCAGCACCACATAAAAAACTAAACAAATAAAGGCATACTGTCCATCTACAACTATTAAAAAATTTTAAAAAAAAAAGAAGCAATAACATTCAGCTAGCTGGACATATTGGTCTAGCTCAGAAGAGGACACTGTGAAGAAAGCTGGGTGCCAAGTACATACTTAGCATTTAAAGCCAAAGGCATGGATTTATGACTAGTGTCAAAGACTAGGGGGAACAGGGAGAAAAAGGGAGAACAGACATGGAGCTACAAAGAACTCCAATATTATGGAGCCTGGAAGAGGAGAGGGAGCCAGAATGGCAACAAGAAGAGCAGAGAAGCGGGGGAGAAGAAGCACTGCAGAGGCCGGAGGAAGTGTGTTTCAAGAGTGAGGTGTGGCAGCAGTGTCAAATGCTGCTCACAGACTGAGCAAGATAAAGCCTGCAAATATCTCATTAGAGTTTTTTTTTTTTTTTTTTTTTTCCTGCATAAGGACGGGATGGAAGCCATACTGAGACTTGAAGGGGTTGAGGAAAGAGATACAAAACAGATGTATTGAAATATAGCAACTCTTTAAATAGTGGACCTATCCAAGGGTATAAAGGATTAAACAATAACTGGAAATTGAAGGGGAATGTGGGGTAAAGGATTTTTCTCTTTCTTTTGTGATAGGAGACTTGCATATTTAAAAGCCCCGTGTGAGGGCGTGGGGATGGGGGTGAGTAAACATAGCAAAAAGATGGAGGAGGGGATTATATTGGAGAGAATGGATACCTGATACCATCCTACATGGCTCCTTTTTCTCACTTGTAAGAAGGGTTGGGGGGTCTTTTGTTCTTCCCTGCAGTCCATTTTAAAGGTCTTACCAGGGCTTTTTAAAGTTCTGTTCCAGGGACACTCATATTTATTCCTTTAAGAAAGCTAAAGGGCATCTTTCAATTTGTAGCTTATTAACAGTATGGTTCTTATCTAGTCTTGTCTATCTGGCTAAACAGCTGCAATTCTCTAAGTGTGTACTAAAGAATTTATTTTTTATCTATGGGAAGTAAAAAACTCATATAATCCTTAAAAAAAAAAACCCTTGTTTCCATAAAATAACCAAGAAAAGGAAACTAACATGACTGCCTATGCTCAAGTGGGGAAAGGCAGAAGCCAGGAAACCAGTTCGGAGGTTACTGAAATAATGCAAGCACCAGATGATGGTGGCCTGGATCAGGGTGGTGACAGTGGGGGGTTGGAGAAATGGTGGAACTGTGACTCTTCTGGGTACATCTTGAAGGATGTGCCGACAGAATAGAAAGCACCAAGGCTTGGGCAACCTGAAGAATGGAGTTTCTTCAGGTTGAGGGTCTGGCTTAAGAGCAGGGTTGGGGAGTGATCAGGAGTTGTCTTGGACTTAACAGCCTCTGGGATGCCTTAGTCACCTACCTAGGGTCGTGGTAGGCTGCTAGGTGCACCAGTGTCACGTTCAGGGGAAGGGCTGGGGTGGACGTAGGCATTCGGGGCTCACTGGCATTGACATGGAGAGCCCATGAGACTGGATGCAGTCATCTAGGGAGTGTAGCCGGAAAACAGGTTCAAGGTCCTGTTCAGCCCGTGGGAAGCTGCCTGGAAGAATTAACTGTTGGCATAACTGTGGCAACGAAACGTCAACGCCTCAAAGGAACCTAGGCACAAAGAGCCCGGAGGCTGAGAGGACTATTCAAAGGGTGCGGAGCCTGGGGCAACTGTCAGCGACCAGGTCGGGAGGGAGCCGCAGCAAGAGAGGGCGCGCGCAGGAGGGCGAAGGCCAGCGGGTCGGGCCCAGCAGCCCGGGCTCCCTGGGGGCCGTGCCCCACCTACTGCCTGAGTGGCCCCGCCGCTCCGCGGCTGCACTCGCGCTGTCGGCGCTGGTCGCTCTTTCCTGGCAAGGCGGCGGCCGCTCACCCGCCGCGCTTTGCAAAAAGGAAACTTCGGCGCCGGGCTACGTTACCAGCGGAGCGGCGCTCGAGGCCAGCCCGACAGGGACCGGGGAAGAGCTCAGCAGGCGCCTCGGGCGAGCGACAGGCTGCGGCGGCGGGCAGTTGCCAGCTCCCCGCGGCTCAAGCGGCTGCACCAACCCGGCCTCTCTGGGGTGCCGGCGCGTCGCCGTGGAAACCACGCGGTGCCCGTTGGGACTATCCGGCCGGCCGGCAGGCGCGCGCATGCGCACTAGGGCCCGCCGACGCCGCGGTGGGGAGGGGCGTCGCGGGCCCGGCGGCGAGAGCTCGCGAGTTCTTCTTGGAGAGCGGTGAGCAGTGGGGTGGCGCAGGCAGCCTCCCCGCCCCAGCGCGGCGCCCGGGCCCTGCGTCCGCGCCTGACTGGGAGCGAGCTGGCGGGCCCGGCGTCCGTTCTCACGCTGCGGCCTCTCCCGCTCGCCGCCGGGTTGGAACCTGGGTTGAGCGCGAGGCTCCCGCCGGTGTGGACGCCTTTGCCTTGCGGAAGCGGGTGAACCGAGAGCAGTGGCCTTACAGCTTCTTTCCTACGCATGAGTGTTTCGGCAGTCTGATCACAGAACGGTGCATTTTGGTGTAGAAAATTCAGATATGGACAGACAAGGACAAGGAGAAATTTAAAATCACACAATGATGATTTTTTTTTTTGGGGGGGGCGTGTCACAAGCGGTTATTAGTGACTCAGTCTGAGGCGAAGATAGATTCAATCAAACCTATTTTATTGATGCTCGTTACTCTTCAGACACGTCCTAATTCTAAGTCATAACTGAGTCTACACCCACGGGTCCCAGATGCTCACCTGTGACGTGTCTTTAAGTCCAGGTCTGGTGAAGGGGGATAACAGCGACGGGTCTATGTCCGGGTCCTGTTAGTCCCATCGCCCCCCCCCCCCCCCAGAAGTCTGGGTTTTTAAGCCCTAGTTCAGTTGTGCTTGTAGCTGATAACTGAGTGGGGTCTGGGGTGTTTCCCCGGGTGTAGACTACATCACTAACAAGTCTAGTTCTGCAGTTAGTAGCCAAGTTTTGCAGTTCACATTACGTTATGGGCACATTACTTATAGTCTTATCCCACACACACACTAATTAATAGAATCAACAGTCAATAATCTTATAATATTTCTGGTACTCATATCAGGGGTACCAGAAATTGAACTCAGGTTCACTCTGCCACTGAGCCACATCCCCAGCCCTATTTTGTGTTTTATTTGAGACAGGGTCTCACCGAGTTGTTTAGAGCCTCACTTTTGCTGAGGCTGGCTTTGAACTCATGATCCTCCTGCCTGAACCTCGCTAGCCGCTGGGATTACAGGCGTGCACCCTGCCCCCCAACCCCGGCTACAGTTGATCTTTAATGACTGCCCATTTTATCAGTAATTGACATTTTTAATTGTATTCACTTCTTTGTTAGTAGGAAGGATAGTGTTTTTTTTTTTTTTAATTGTGCTTTATTGATTTTCCTTTTTTTTTTCCCTCCCCCCCCCCCCCCCCTTTTTTTAGTCTGGCTCTCCCAAAATTGCCCAGGCTGGCCTGTAACTCCTAGCCTCAAGGGATCCTCTTGCTTCAGCCTTCACAGTAGCTGTGACTACTGGCATGGGCCTCCATGTTCAGGACTTTTGCCCATTTTTAGACTTGAAATTTAATGTAAATGTAATATTGACTTGGAAGAACTTTAGATGTATGAAAACTCCTTCTGTGATATGTGTTGCGAATATTTCCTCCAGTGTCAATTACCTTTAACTTTGTTTGCAATGTATTTTGGTATTTAGGAGTCAAATACATCACATTTTCCCTTTAGAATTTCTGCCTGTGGTTTTTATGTGAGAGGAGCAGTGCTTATTCCTTTTCACACAGGCTGTTTAATTCCACTTTCGTGGGCATGGACTGGGACAAAGCTTCTCTCCATGACACCATCCCTTTTTCTGTCCACTATTAAAGAGTGCCCACCTTCAATTCTAGAAGCTTAGGTAATGAGTTATCTGTAGACGATGGGTGATAGTGGGTTTTGATAGTAGTGGTGAGCTGGGCAGCATCCCCAGGTGGACAGATAAGCGTCACCCCAGATGTGATAGTTACAGAAAGATGGGCCAATCCTTGATGGTTGGTGGAGCTCACAGGACAGTATTTGGAGCAAGTTTCTCATGAAGAGAACATCCCATTCCTTGCTCGGAACTGGAGAATGTGGAAGATTGCCGCAGTCTGGCTACAGCAAAATAACCGGGGGTGGGGGGTGGTGGTGGGGGTGGTGACGAGCAACTTGTGTAGATTGATACAGCAGGAGTGGGAGCCGTTTATTGTAGGACCGGAGGGGTATATATACATTACACACAGCTTATCTTAATTAACATAAACTAGATACAGCAGTCAACCAATAAAGAATCTCCACACTTAATGGCTTGCTGGCGTTACTTCACAAACCACTCCCTCTGCAAAATGCCAGGCGCCATCTTGACTTGTTTACAGACTCTAACAGAAGATGGAGAGAGTCTTCAGAGCTGCCTTTCCCATCAGAGGGGTCCCCTGCCGCAGTCCGGCTGCCGCAGAATAATCAGGGGGGTGACGAATAACTTCTGTAGCTTGATACAGCAGGAGTAGGAGCCGTTTATTGCAGGACAGGAGCAGTATTTATACATTCCACACAGCTTATCTAATTAGCATAAACTAGATACATCAGTCAACCAATAAGGAATCTCCACACTTAATGGCTAGATTTTGTTACTTCTCAAACCACTCCCTCTGGCATTTTGCCAGGCACCATCCAGACTTGTTTACGAACTCTAACATTCCCCTGGCAAAATGCCAGGTGTTATTTTTGACTTGTTTACAGACTCTAACAGTCCCCTCTCTTTCCTGGAGTGCTCTGAAAATCGTCATTTGAATCTTTCTGTCTCAGAATGAATAGTCTTTGCTTCCTGCTTTTGGAGGGGATCTTCTTTCCCCTGGAGGCATTGGTGAAGCAGCGGCCTTTTAATTATTAAGCTGCTCATCTCCATCAGGCTGCACAAAAAACTTGTGCCTTTATTTCTGTGTATTTCTAGGGATGCTATAGCACATCCCCACAGACTTGGTGGCTTAGAACTATAGAGATTCATCTCATAATTCTAGAGGCCAGAAGTTTTAAATCAAGGTGTCTGCAAATTCATTCTCCCTCAAAAGGCTCTTAGGGAAAATCTTTCCTTTCCCAGCTCTGGCGGTTCCTGGTGTTCTTTGACTTACGTAGGATCACTGATTCCCATCTCTGTCCTCTCATCTGTTCTTTCTGTCTTTCTGTGCGCCTTCTCTTCTGGTAAGGATGATTTCACCACAAGATCCCCAACTCATTAGTCTACAAAGACCCTATTTCCAAATAAGGTCGCATGCTGAGGTTTTGGGTGAACATGAATTTTTCATTGCATTATATTTACTATGACAACCCCTTTCATCATTCCACAGAAAAACATACGTCTATATTTGCCATTTTGGTTTACCCATAAAGTTAAGTAAATTGAAACACAATATTTGGTATTATCATAAGATCATTTGAGGATCTCTGTGAAGTTTGTAGCCAATACCTCATAATTTTATAATCAAAATTAGGTCTGATCACAGAGTGTACTAGAAATGTTGAACGGCTAGCCCTCTGCATGCTTAGGATTACACAGCTCCTCTGAAGTGGTTTTGTAAGTCAGAGACTTAAAGAGCTTTAGGACTTCTGTGGAATGTTTGGTGTTCCTGCTAATTAACTTGAAGCTCACTGGTGTCAATGTAATAAATTAGAAGAGATATGGCAATTAGAGTTTTCAAATTTCTAATTTGCACATTTTCATTCATTTTAAAAAGATAAACATAATTTATTGTGAAGAGAGGGCGCACTAGGAATTTGCGGGTGGCATCTTGGAAGCTGCTCTAGTGTGGTGTAGAGAGAACCGTGTTGGGTCCAAGTCTGAAATACACCATTACTGTTCCCATTTGATAGACCCAGCCTGATTTTCTCTTAAAATTGGGAGCCATCTCGCCACAAAGCCATGAAAAGCTAATTTCGGCTTTACTATAAATTACTGCAAATTCTGAACCTGCTTGGAATGCCTGCCGTGCCTTGAACTCACCCCATGCCTGGCTCTCTGAAACTTTAGTGACGCCTCACAAATCTTGGCCTTCCCTGGCCAGATAACGACTCTCTCTGAGGCTCTAATGACCTTCATGAATTCTGCTGTCGGGGCCAGCAAAAATGTAAACTAGCATTTGTGTTATGCTCGTCAGAGTTTTGTCATCTGTAACCCCCCCACACTTTGTGTAACTTTCTGGGCTGTAAAGCTGGGCTGTAGGAAAGCTGTGGCTGCTGCCTTGTTCCCGTGGTTTGGGGTGGGAGAGGCAGCCCGGCTGGTCGAAATAATAAGCTTACTTTAATTTGATTTTAATTGGAGTCAGTGGTCTTTTCTTGCGTCCTGGTCTAACACCATTGTCTCTAGATGTGTAATCCTATGAGTAGGATAATAATGGAAAGCAGTATTAGGGCTTAAGGGTGTGATTTATGCAAAGTAACTTGAGCAGATCTGGCATACAGTCAGAACCTAAATATTAATAACTGTTTTTGGAGATAAGGAATGGGTCTTGTTCCCTGGTGTTGAAGAGTGAAACACCTGAGAAACGCTAAGCACAGAGAGCAAGTTTTATTTTATTTTTATTAAATTATTTATTCTATTTTGTTACACAAGATGGTAGAAGGCAATTCATTTCATATTACACATATAGAGCACAATTTTTCAAGTCACTGATTGTACCAAAATGTTTTCACATCATTCATGTCTTCATCCATGAATTAGGGTAATGATGTCTAACTCATATCACCGTCATTCCTACCCCCTTGCCCCTCCCTCCCCCTTCCTCTCCTTTTCCCTATCTAAAGTTCCTCCATTCCCCCCATGCCCCCTCCCCCATTGCCATTATGAGTCAGCATCATCATATCAAATAAAACATTTGGTCTTTGGTTTTTTGGGGATTGGCTAACTTCACTTAGCATTATATTCTCTAACTCCCATCTATTTACCTGCAAATGCCATGATTTTATTTTCTTTTAATGCTGAGTAATGTTCCATTGTGTAAATATACCAAAGTTTCCCTATCCATCAAGAGCAAGCTTTATTTAAGACAGGGACAGAGACTGACTTCTCTGAAGAGAAGAGGTCCCAGAGCTGGGTGTCCGTGGGAGAGGGTGGTCTTATCTTTCTTATAGATCTCAGAACCCCCCCCCCCCCCCCCGCCCCTTTTTAATTCTTGTCCTCTCTTTTTTCTCCGTGTATGTATGACCAAGGACAGGAGCACAGAGGTTGTTAGCAACCCATTGTTCTTTCTTTGATAACCATTGGTTATCCTCTCGACCCCCATCACTCATTAAGTACACTGACTGCCTGACCTCCCTGCCTCTTTATTTCAGAAGGAAACTTATTTTTCCCTAAGCCTCGCAGATGACAGATGGAGGGGTGTTATTACTGAAGGCAGCTTTTACCCAATATGAGCAGGAGACATATATTCTTTAGAGAAGAATACTTTACGTTACTAATAGCTTACAGTTACTAATACTAACCATAGTTTACATTATCATTAAGAAACAAACCTAACTTACTGCTTTCTTAAATAAACTTGGAAGAATTACCATGTTCATATGATAGACTTTAAGGTATGAATACCTGGAATTTTTTGTGTGCATGGAAAAAATAGTAGATACTGTAGAAATTTGGAAAACACAGAAAAGTAAAAATGATCTATAATCTTTGGTAGAATTTAAGATAAAGTTTATAATTCTAGAGACTTAAGTTTGGAGAATCCATTGATCATTTTCACCAAAGACCTAATTTTTGGAGTAGTTAACTTTGCATGTTGAAGCCAAAGTTAAGTTTTGTTAGAATTACCTCAAAGATTGCCTGTGGTGGAAATCATTCTGGGCAGGATTCCAGGGCCTAGGGTCGTTGCTGATCCCAGGCTCCTATCTGAGGGAAGGGGAGCAGGCCCCAGGTCCTCTGAGACTGTGGGGGGCAGGTGCAGAAGCAGGGCCTGCCTTCCTGCTCCTAGCCAGGGCCTCCTCCTCCACCATGAGCAGCAGGGCTTTGAAAACGGGTGAATACCCCTGCTGCCTCCTGAAAGATGAGCACTTCGTCCCTAATGCCCTTAATCTTGATTTTGAAACTCATCAAAAGAGTTTGGGCCACTAACCTGGGCTTCTTCACTAGCTTTTGTATTTTTCTGATTTTTAACAAGATCCAAATTATCCTCATAAATAAGATGGTATAGAGCCTGTAGTAAACAGAGTACTTATTGTTTTTCCTCAAGGTCTTTAACACAGTGAAGGTAATTTGCTGCTGACAAGCCAGCCTCCGGATGTCAGGAAACCTTACAAGGCCAAACAGGTGCTGACGAGAGAGAGCTGTAAAGGAGCCATTCATAGAGGAGTTTCTACTGTGTGACAATTTATTGAGTTTTTAAAAAATCTGCCAGAAAAATCTTAAAATAGGGAAGCTGCTTTTTATTTACAGGGCTCTGTGGCTATTCTGACCCTTCAGGTTGGTTGGTTTGCCAAAAGCCTGGTGAGCCCAGCCTCCTCCTGGGCGGAGATGGAGGGAGTTTTCAGAGCTTTTCTGGTGGCTCCAAAGAGCTCCTCCCTTGCTTCTGTTCTCCCCTGCTCTCCAGTTCCTGGGCCCCCCCCTCTCCCCCCAGGCATTTCTCTACTGGTCTCTGATTGGTGCAGGGCACAGCCTGACCTTTTAGGGACTGTTGTCGGGCCTGGCTGCTTTTATCAACCAATCAAATATTTTCTTGACAGATCCCAAAATATTCCTAGGCCAATGGAGGGGGAAGCCCTAGAGCTTGTCTGCTCTTCTGGGAGGCAGAGCCTCTTGGGGGAGGGAGGGCAGAAGGGGAGTCCTGGGCAGTCGCCAGCTGGACCTGGCACTTGCTCCTCCTTGTCACTGTCAGGATTCGTCTAGCGACGGTTCCCTGACAGGGGTGTGTTGGAGGGAGTCCTCTTTCTGACTGTCGAAATGGTTATCAAAGTGTTTGTTGCCACATCTTCTGGGTCCATAGCGGTAGGTGTCCGGTGGGACCTGTGGGGTGTGCTTCTTTCTGTACCATTTTCTGGATAAATCAGGGTTGGAATTAGAAGGAGCCGGTATGGACGAGCATTGGCCTTAAATTCTTTTTTGCGTGTAAGTCAACTGCACTCTGCATTGAGGGCCGATGGCTTTCTGTGTGTGTTTTCGTGGTGTCGAAAATAGTGTGTAAAATGTGTAATCCAGACAGGTGTGTGGGGATTCCAGGAAGGAGGAGCCTTGGTTGCTAGAATTGGTGATGTGATCTAAGTGTGTTGCCGTTGCATAGAATCATGAGCTTTTATTTTACTTTTTTTTTTTTTTTTTGGAGTGTTTCTGCTATTAATTCTGCAGGACTTGGAGAAATGTAAAGTTAGAAATAATGTTACTTTGTGTAACTATTTGGAGCGTCTGATGGACCAGATTGCTAAGTCCACTCCTTGAGCATTGTTCCTTGTATGTGTGAAGTTACCCACAGAAAGTGTGGAGTTAGTGTAATACTATTATTTGAGGAAAATGATGTCATGGTGACAAGAGCAAACGTCTCCGAGGCCACAGTTTTAAATGCTCTAGGAGTTCCAGTGGCCCACATATGGGAGTAGGAGCCAACCTCCCTGCCTTGGCTTGGTCTGGGTACCGAGAGCCCAGGCACCTGCCTCCCATGTGCCTTCATTCTCGGACTGTAGACCTGCCCTAAGAAACACGTGTTACCCCAGACACCTTTCTCCTTGAGAATGATTCAGGCTTTGACTGTAGGCTTGAACTGCAGTGTCTGTCTGCGACTGACCTTTCTACCAGCGTTTTAGCAGGAATTAGGAAGGCTGGGGGAAGAAATCATTTTATAGTCCCTAGAGTCAGAGCCCCAAGAGGGGGCTGTTTCCTTTTATATCTAGTTCCTGGAGGAGCTTTGGTTGCAGCTCGGATTTCTGGAGTCACAGCCCCACTCCCAACCTGGGGAATCATTGGGGTTTCAAAGAGGGTGAGAGGAAAGCAAGAGAAAAGGGCCTGCTAGCTCCCAAAGATCACTACAGTTGTTTCAGTGATCTCTGGAGCAGGTGACAGAAAAAAGAATAAAGATTACACATGGAAAATTCCAAAAGTAAATCTTTGTCATTGATGACTGTGGAAACTTTTAGTTGATATAAAATGAGTATGGTTTTGTTTGTTTGGGGGATGCTGGAGATGGAACCTGGGGCCTCACACATGCTAAGAAGGTGCTCTAACACTGAGCTGTATCCCAGCCCATTTGTACATTTTGGATTATTTTGATAAAACATAATATTTGAGGAAAATGTCTTTGGTGGGCTTTAAATGTATTAATGTTCATTGCTGAAAACTTTTACCACTTAATTGCCATCATCTATATATTCTGTAGAATTGGTGTATGTGGCCCTGTGTATTATTCAGAAGACAAGGGGTAAATTTAAGGATTTCTTTAATTTTCTGAGATTTTTTTTCTGATACTGGGGACTGAACCCACGAGTGCTCTACCACTCAGCTACATTTCTGCTTCCCTCTCCCTTTTTTGGTATCACAGTTTGAACCCAGGGGCAATAGGCAGGAGGTGCCAAGTGAGTGGCAGGAAGAGGTGCCGCAGTCAGATGGCTCCAGCACATTAACCACTGAATCACATCCCCAGCCTGTTTATATTTTATTTAGAAACAAGGTCTCGGGCTGGGGATGTGGCTCAAGTGGTAGCGTGCTCGCCTGGCATGCGTGCGGCCTGGGTTCGATCCTCGGCACCACATACAAACAAAGATGTTGTGTCCGCTGAGAACTAAAAAATAAATACTAAAAAATTCTCTCTCTCTCTAAAAAAAAAAAAAAAGAAACAAGGTCTCACTGAGTTGCTTAGGGCCTTGCTAAGTTGCTTGAGGCTGGCGTTGAACTCACGATCCTCCTGTTTCAGCCTCCTGAGCTGCTGGGATTATAAGTGTGTGCCACTGCAGCTGGCTCCAGCCCTTTTTATTTTATTTTGAATGGGTCTCGCCAAGTTGCCCAGGCAAACTTGCCATCCTCCTGCTTCAGGGTCCTGAGTGCCTGGGATTACAGGTGTGCGCCATAGCATCCAGCTAAATTTATGAATTTCTTAGGTTTATTTGATGTCTCACATTCATGAAATTTGGCAGCATAATTTAGTTAGCTTTAGAGGACCTGGAGGAGTGCCATTCATTCCAGGATCTTGGACAAGCCAAGTGAGTTCTGGGGCACCAGAGTGGCAAATGTTTCAGTGCACTTGCAACTGTGTGACCTTGGGAAAGGCATTTAACCTTGCTAAGCCTCGACTTCCTTGTCTGTTAAATGAGGATAAGAATAGTGCCCACCTCATGGCGTCAACATGAGAGCATCTGAAATAAGATGCTCCGTGCCGGGCATGGTGTCAAGTGCTCCATCAGTGCTCAAAAAGTACTGTGATTACTGGTGAATGATATCCTTACTGCTAGTTTATATTAATTACTGCTGTAATTTTTGTAATTATTAATTAATGTTAGTTAATTAGTATTACAGCTGTTATAATGATCGGTTAAGGCAATTGATATCCTCCTGAAGAGTGAGAACTTGTTACCCCAGCATAGGTGCAGCTGGACTTTTGTGGACAGGGAATTCCCCCCAACGCTGCTTGGCAGGAGAGCCCGGGAGCAGTCCTTGTGCTCAGGCTGCACGTGGGCTGGGCATTCTGCAGAGCCTCCTCTCACTTCTCCCACAAAGGAGTTTAAACAACGGATCTTGCCTCCCACTTAGTCAGGGCATTCTGACTTCTGCTGGATGAATGAAATAATGAAGAAGGAAAAACCAAACTGCAGTCTCTTCCAGGAATTGAATTTGTGCCACTGTGTATTAAAGCTCCATTTTAATGGTTGACTCTAAGGAACTGTGACACACTTTATCACATCCTGAAGGGGTTTGGGTTATGGACGATGGGGAAGCAGAAGGCGGGTGTCATCTTATGTGACCTCTTCTCTTGTTGAAGGTCTTGGCCTCGGTGGGGCATGGGGACAAAAGGAGAGAGGATTTTCCCTGCTATTTCCAAGGCGCACAGTCCCTGGAATCATGGTCTTTAAGGGTAGATCTTTCAGGGGACTCCTGGGTTTCTTAATCTGCATCTAAATCAATAGTGCAAATACGGTTGGAGAAACACGTATCTTGAATTAGATTGATCTGGGTGTAAACCTTGGAAAATTCATTGACTCATGGAGCCTCGGTGTGACACCTGCAGCACTTGGTGCTTTTCCATGTGTCATCTTCCTAGATCCACCAGCAGCACCCCTCAAGGATTTTCCAAATCACCCCAGTTCTCAGGTGAGGAAATTACAGACCTGAGTTCTTGCTTGGATAGCCACTTTCTGGTCTGGGATGGCAACGCAGGCTTTTGTGACTCAAACTCAGCGGGCTTTTTACTACAGTACAGTGACCTCAGTGGAAAGGCTCCTAACTGTACAAGACAATAGGCAGGAGGTGCCAAGTGAGTGGCAGGAAGAGGTGCCGCAGTCAGATGGCTCCAGCACATTAGCTGACTTGTGGTGGCAGAAGTCTTCAGGACGGAGAACAGACCTTTCTTATGAGTACATGTGACATGCTAGGAACACAGTGCTCTCAGCCTCTGCTAAAGGCTTCAAGTAATGACACTGGCTCCAGGTATCCCCGGGTCCTGAAAGCTGCTACCCAGGACAGATGGCGCAGCCTGTGGAACCAGCATCGGCCCATGGCACTCTGAAGGGTGGGGAGAAGTGGAGAGGGAGAGAGGGTCCATGGTGACAACTCTTGGACTGCTGTGCTCACGGCCCAATAGTGAGCCCCTGGAGGCCGTGATGGGGAGGAGCCCTCTGGGATGATGCTGTGCCTCTGGGGTCAGCTCAGGAGGCTGTATGAGAAGAGCCCCACTTTGGGAAGGCTGGAGGGGCTCCTCCATCAGGGACCTTCGGGGAGAGGGGCCCCACCCTAGAGGCAGGGCATTGGGCTGTGGCAGACGGGACAGAGCCATCCAGGTGCTTCCACGTGTTCCCCTTCCCCTTATCCCTCCTCTGAGCTTGAGCTAGACCCTTCTCCAGAGGTTGCCAGCCCAGGCACAACTCCAGTGCTCCTATTAGCCTCATGAGCCAGTTTAAATGGTGTTTAGGGAGTCTGGAGCCAAACAGTTCAAGTTTCTTCTTGTTTTTTGGGGAGCGGGGACTGGGTACTAAGAAATGGCACTTAGTGCAGAGTGCTGTTTCTGCCTGTCACTTAACTTTCCTGGAGGCCCTTGCTGGTCCTGCGGAGGACAGTGAGCATGGTTGCCACTTCCATCTACTCCATGCATCGCCTTTCTTGGAGAAGTGGAAGCCAGGACTTTTGGAAATGCTTCACCTACTCAGGAATCATGGGGTAAAATATCAGGGAGATAATGTTGGCGAGGGGGTTTCGGATGAAGGGCAGGCAGGGTCTGGGTAAAGGAGATTGCCTTCTGTGTGTTTTATTAAAAGCAAACTTGCCTAAAGTGAAGACATCTCTACTTTTCAAACAGCAAAGTTATCTCTGAAAATATCTGAGGGATATTCATAAAACGGCACAATTATGGACAGGCTGGAAAGGAAGTATGGAGAATATAATTAATTAAAATAATGATTTAGACTAACAACCTGTCATCAGGTCCAATGGGATTTTGTAATATCCAAAAATCCAGCTATGAAGCTGTGGAGCTTGGAGCACAGTTTCCTTGCAGAGGAGAAGGTCAGGGTCACTGCAGCCCAGAGGCAGGTAGGGGGCAGCTCCCTCTCTGTCCTTATGGGGGTCACTCAGGAGTCTCCAGACTTCTTACACAGATAGGTTAAAAGGAATTCCTTTGTGTAACACTTTCTCTCAATTTTTTTCCATGCTTGTCCCGAACTGAAATGTACCTTGGTTCGTGTCTTAGTGCTTGTAGGTATTGTGCTGTAGCTAATAGCAGCCTTTAATTTATCAATGTAATGTTTTTAGTCCAAATATCTTTATTATGTTGATGGTACAGATATTAATGAAAAATTAAATGCAGGATTACACATATAAATGCACATTTTATATGTGTAATTTATACATGACAATTTACATATAATTTGTATATGTTTATTTTCTAATAATTAAAAAATATTATTTACTATTAATCTATATTTTATATTACTATATGTAAAATCAAATGACCATCCCAAACAAATTCTATATACAAATTATTTTATGATACTTTGTATAATTTGTTTTAGTGGTGATTTTATTCCAGGGCTTAAGCATCTATATGTGTCTTACTTTTCTTGTATTAAATAAGGAATACACCATCCAGGAGTCATTGATAGTCCTTCATTGTTGGCAAGAAAAAATAAGATTGGTGTTTTTTTTCTTTTTTTTGAGGGGGGACAGGTATATAGGTCTTTAAGAAAGGATTTTGGCTTAGACAAAAACGGGTTTGGATTTACCTCATCTTTTACCTCATTTATTTTGAATCCTCCAAATCTAGTCATGCTAATAAACAAGTCACATGAAGGTGATGAGGAGCCCTTGTGTCCTATAAAACAGTTTTAATGACTTGTTTTCATTATGAGATAATAGTCTATTCAGAAGACTTTTACAAAAATTCAGATATTAGATATTTTTGCATCAAAGAAAATTCATACTTAAATGTCAATCTTCCTTTAAAAAGTGACCATATTTATGCCTCTGTAGTATCTTGAGTGTGTTCTACATCTATAGTGTACAAATTAGTTCTGTACTTTTTTTCCTCCCAAATAAGCAGTTTAAGAATCTTTTTACCAGGAGGGCTTGGCACAGCATCTTGTGCAGAGTAGAGTTGATAACTGTCAATTGATCACACTTGCTGGAGGTTTATGCCTGGGATTCTTAAAATGGGGTCCACAGAGTCAGCTGTAATTTATTTACAGTGTTCATAAAAAATGGTATCGTTCATTTCTGGGAGTGACTTCTCAGACTGAAGAGAGAAATAGTCGTAATTACTTATGGGGAAGGAGCTCTGATCTTTAAAGATGGTCACATTGACAAGAAATAACTGCTGGGAGACACAGTTATTGCACACCAGTGGTAGAGAACAGCATGTCCCATAGGGTGGGAGAAAAGCATCACTCTTTTGTGCCACCTTTTTATGTGCTGGGAGAAACATACTCCAGCCTTTCTGTCCTGCCTTCTGCCCTCCAGCCATCTCCACGTGGGCTTTTCAATTTCTGGTATTATTTCTAATGTTACTTCCAGCTCAGTGTGACTCACACTCCTGTTTTCATAACTTTGAACGAAATGCACATTAGTGTAGAATGCGTGATTTTGCATTTCATAGTAAATTATCTTTTTTCCATTTTATTTTTTAAGAATAGCTTTATTTTATTCATTTATTTTTATGTGGTCCTGAAGATTGAACCCAGGGCCTCACCAGTGCTAGGCAAGTGCTCTACCACTGAGCCACCGAGCCCCCGTATTCTCTTTCCTCTTTTCCCATTCAGGTCTCTTCCTAGCTAATTTTTGTTTATGGTTTTGGCTATTTCAAGCTTTGAGTTATAAGTATTTTGAAATACAGCAAATGAAAGATATGAGAACACCTCCGTTCCAGTTAGGTTGATTAGACAATGATTTAAACATTGATGATATTAAAACCTCAATATTTAAACAGTCATCATGGATCCTTTACAATGCAGAGGTGTGATTTTTGGTTTTCCTCATTTCAATACTTTATAAAATTATTGGTGTTGTCTGGGTAGCTAGAGAAAGGATTTATTTTATGTAAACATCATCAAAATATTTTTTAAAAAACAATTTAAAAATATTTTTCACTACTCTTGACCAGATTAGGAAGAAACAGCAAGAAGTGGTGGGCTTTTTGGAGGCGAATAAAATCGACTTTAAGGAATTAGACATAGCTGGAGACGAAGACAACAGGCGGTGGATGAGAGAGAATGTTCCTGGGGAGAAAAAACCTCAGAATGGGATTCCTTTGCCCCCCCAGATCTTCAATGAAGAGCAGTATTGTGGGGTGAGTATTTGGATTTGTGGAAATCCTTCTTTGTGCATATTTATCAGAAATCATTCAATGGTCAATGGTCAATTCCCAATGGTCAATTCACCATCTATTTCTACCAACCACTGCCTAGTGTCAGATCCACTGTGAACAATCCATATTTAAGACTGAGTTAGAAAATGGTAGAAACAATAGCATGCACGATGATTCAGAAGGTTTTTGGGGTTATTTTAGGTTCCTTATTTAATTTTGAAGAATTAAGGTCATTTTTTCAAACAGAATGTACATTTATTTTCTGAAGCTTTTAAAAATTTTATTTGTTCTTTTTAGATGTCCATGACAGTAGAGTGTGTTTTAATATATTATGCATACATGGAGTGTAACTTACTCTAGGTAGGGTCCCCTTCTTGTGGTTGCACATGATGTGGAGTTTCACTGGTCTTGTATTCATATATGAACGTGGGAAAGTGATGTCCAATTCATTCTACTAAAATTTGAATTATGAATATTTGAAATTATGAATAATTTGAAATTATGAATATTCTACTAATATTCATAGTTAGTTTAAAAACTGTTTGGAGCATTTTGATTTTTAATAGCAATTTTATTTTATACATTAATAGTTTATTTCAGAAAATAAACTGTAATCAGAGTATACAAGTTGTGCTTAATAAATCAAATTGTTGAAAAGGAACACTTAACAAATCAAAGGACTTTAGAATGTGAGTACTGGAAATTACCTCTAAGCCACCTTGGTCACTTCTTGGATGGGGACAAGGTCTGCCTAGTGGAGGAGGCTGTTCAGAGTGTGCTGCTTCTGGGAGCTGGAGCCAGGGTAGGCATCTGAACCCCTCTTCTCCTCATGCTGCATAGAGCTGCTGGTTCTTGGTGTAGGTTTTCTTTATTATGCTTTTCATCGAAACCACCTGTCATCAAGCCGGTGAGGGCCACATTCTGCCGCTGTCAGTTTCAGTAAGTGCAGTTTTGGTGGAACACATCCACAGGAATTTACTTGCCAATTGCCCATGGATGATTTCGCACCAGGACAGATTTGCACAGCAGTGAGAGCACTTACAGCGCACAAGTGTTTATCGTCTGACTTTTCACAGAAAGGTCTTCACACCTCTGACTTGAAGCACGAATTGTTTGGTTTGTGGGGCTTATGTTAGTTTCCTGTAGCAAAGCGGCCCAAGGCTGGTGGCTTAGATAATAGAGATGTATTCCCCACAGTTCTGGAGGCCAGGAGTTTGAGATCCAGATGTTGTAAGGACAACATCAGTGGAGTAGGACTTGCTCTTAATCGTAACTGATAACAACTGCAAACACGAGCGCACTTTCTGAGGTGCCGGTGGATATGAATGTGTGGGGGATGCTGTTAGCCTGTGTGGGGCTGGATGGACTTATGTACAGCTGAGCTCCTAGTCCTGTGGGCACGGGAATGTTTTTAGACAGTCTTAATGTGCTCAGTGCACACTGAAGGGAATGTATGTCCAGTTCAACTTCCCTGTGGGTCTAACCTGGGGCTTCCCAGCTGTAGCACAATTCCTCCAGAGGAAGAGCCCCTCTGCTCCACCTCCCACCCCACCCTGCCTCTTCCTCACCTACATTTCTAGGATTGTTCCTCTTATTGGATAAGAAAGGGATAATGAGGGCTGTTTTTGGTGTGTGAGTGTGTGTGTGTGTGTGTACCTGCACGTGTGTGTGTGCGCGCATGCGCTGAGATAGTGGTAAGGAATTTAGTTTTATTTTTTCTAAAGTAATTTCTTTTAATAATTGGAAAATCAGCACAGGCACATGCTGAAAACTTAATATGGTTCAAAAGGGTCTCTAGAGAGAATGATTCCTCTGCCCTTTCTGACCATGTCACTCTAGCTGCCTTCCCCTGAGCCAGGTTGGCTCCGTAGGCTGCCATGTCTCATGGTACCCATGTTCATGAAGTTTCTGTGCCTGGTTTCATACTCTGCTGCCATGTCTTGAAATTCTTAGCAAGGTTTGAACCCAGGGCCCTGAGTTTTCATTTTGTACCGGAAAATTCTCAGTGTGGTACTGCTTTGAGGCCCCAAATGTTGGCGATTTCTTGTTTGACTTTTCCAGAAATTTTCTGTGTATATTTAACAATTGTTGACTAGAGGTGTGATTCAGTGGTAGAGTGGTTGCCTAAAATGCTCAAGGCCCTGGGTTCAATTCCCAGCACTGCAAAACAAACAAACAAACAAACAAACAAACAAACACCAATTGTCTATCACCTCAAAAAGGGGATATGCTATCTAGACTTTGTTTTGTTCAGTTAATAACTGTACTTGGGGGTCCCTGCAGAGCTGCACATGCTCCTTAGTTTTATGGCTGTAAGTTTTTCTTTATGCATGTCATAAGTTTTTGGCTCAGCCCTCTAATGGAGAGCATGCGTGTTGTCTTCAGTCTTGTGCCATGGAAAACACTTCTACAGGGCTGGGGCTGCGGCTCAGCGGCAGGTGAAAAACTGGTTCTTGCTGCTTTGCTTCAGGTTTCATTCTTTTTTTATATGTATTTATTTTTTTAGTTGTGATTGGCCACAATACCTTTGTTTATTTATTTTTATGTGGTGCTGAGGATGGAACCCAGGGCCCCACATGTGCTAAGTGAGGGCTCCACCGCTGAGCCCCAGCCCTAGCCCGTCAGGTTTCATTCTTTATGGATGAAGTTGAACATCTTTTTTAATTTGTTTATCAGCTACTTGTGATTTTTCTGTGACTTTCCTGTACACATTTTCTGTCCTTTTTCTATTGCGCTATAGACTATGGGTACTGGTTTTTATAAGTTTCTTCATATATCAAGGAAAATAGCCCCTTGACTACCATAGATCTAGTGAACATTTCACTCACATTTCTTATTTATCTTTTAAATAAGAAATTTTAAAGGGACATTTTTTGTAATGCAGAACTTTTAAATGTTTCATATAGACAAATATATTATTATTTTTTTCTGTATGGGTTCCATACTTTAAATTTTGTTTAGAAAAGCTTTATGCACTCTAAAATTACCAAATAAACATTTCATTTAAATTAGAAGAATTTGATGTTTTCTTCTAATACTTTCCCAGTGAAGCTAGGATTTAAAATTTCTTACTTTTGATTTTGAACTGTCCTTTTAGATTTCGACTGTTAACATAGAGACATTATTGAAGCATACAACTTTCTGTCTATATTAACTACTAGGATAAAAGTTCTGCAGTTATTCTGTGCTATAAAAATAAAATCTCAAAGACATCTCTTATCCCATTTTGCTGTGGTCTAGCATTTAAAAATATTTAATTGTGAAGAAGAAAATTATCCCAAATAATGACTTCCATTTTTAAAATCTGTTTTCCTATTACAAATATGTATCCAATGAGTGTGCAAATTATTTTATTCAACTCTTTTAGGTTCTTTTCAGTCCTGCCTCTGGGGAGGTCTCAGTAGCTGCTGGGATCTGGATCTGGAATGTCCCTGAGGAGCTGTGTGTTAAAGGCTTGCTCTCCAGGGTGGTGCTCTTGGGAGGTGGTAGGAACTTTAAGAGGTGGGGCCTAGTGGGGGTCTTGAGGTCATTGGAGACATGTCCTTGCAGGGGACAGTGGGACCCTAGCCCCTTCCTCTTCCTCTCTTTGGCTTCTTGGCCATGAGGTGAGGGTTTTTTCTCTGCACCACATTCCTGCCATGATGTCTTTCCTTGCCACAGACCCAAAGCAATGGGGTCAATTAGTCATGGACTAGAACCTCTAAAACTTTGGCCTTTTCTTTTCCAAGGTGGTCATTTCAGCTATTTTTGCTATAGTGATGGGAAACTAACTAACACAGTAGTTTTTCTTAAGAGAAGCTTTTGTTAAGTTTGCTTTTCTGCAATATGGGCTACTCTTAACAAAGTTAACTAATGAAGCAGAGGGCTCTGGTTTCAGAAAGTAAGTGAAAATGATTATTTGTAATATTGGTTCACATTTTAAAAGGAGACTCAGAAGTTCCGAAGGCTATGTCAGGTTTCAAATGGCATAAATCTGGAGAGTCCGTTGATGTGTCCTTCCACATGATTGGAGTAGATACCATAAGAATAACTACTATAAGTTGTATCTCTGATTCCTGAGGATTCTTTGTCAGTCATGTGCCATGGCTGATGATGCATCAGAGGAAGGAGACTCAGGGACAAGTGGTGGATTTCTCTGTCCCAGGGACATGTGGGGACTGGATGTCAGGGAGAGTCCTGAGTATCATTGTGCCCTGCGTTTGAACTCCTGCTGCTCTCAGCAGAACAGATGAGGATATTTATTATCTGGGAGCTGAGGCAGACAACTGTTGTAGAAGGGGGACAGGAGGAGTTAAGCAGGCACTGTCAGGGGCAGGTCACCTTGCAGGGAGGACTGCTGTAAGTAGCAGATGTGTGTCAGAATCTGCACCCTTAGTCCAGGAAAGGGCTTGTATGCCTCCCTGGCTCCAAGGCAGCCGTTGAGCTGAGAGGGGAGCATCACTGTGCATCAGGGACGTAAGGAGGACAGAAAGCATGCCCAATTAGGGTGGGGAGAGGGCTGCTCAGCATACAATTGTTACTGAACAAACGATTTTATGTTCTTAAGAATTTATTTTGAAATTTACCATCTATGATAAAAACATGTAGTTTGGAGAAAAATGAGACAGCCTGGCGCGGTGGCTCATGTCTGTAATCCCAGTGGCTCTGGAGGCTGAGGCAGGAGGATTGTGAGTTCAAAGCCAGTCTCAGCAAAAGCGAGGTGCTGGGCTGGGGTTGTGGTTCAAATGGTAGAGCACTTGCCTAGCACGTGTGAGGCACTGGGTTCGATCCTCAGCCCACATAAAAATAAAATAAAGATATTGGGTCAAGCAACTTAACAAGACCCTGTCTCTAAATAAAATACAAAATAAGGCTGGGGATGTGGCTCAGTGGTTAAGTGCCCCTGAATTCAATTCCTGGTACCAAGAAACAAACAAAAAACAAAAAAACACATTACTCAGTTGAAATGTGATGTCATCAAAAATGTAGAGGCCCACTGAGTT